GTTGGTATGTCAGTGGGTTCATTTTCTGGGTGTGGTTTCCCATCCACTCCATTGCTAACTGGCAAGTGGGGTTTGCCAAAAGGTCTTATCATGAGTTAGGGAAAACTGGGAGCTTGCTGATTTTTTCCTCAGGAGTGTGGATTCAAGTGTAAACCAAGTGTCTCAAACATCTATGCACCCAGAATCCACCTTTATCATTTCCATGTTGCCTCACAAATCCTTTGTGGGAAAGAGTTTGTTTACTAAACAAATGCTGTTTTTTGCTTTAAATAAAAGATTTATTTATTCTTGTTGCATGTTTGTATGATTTATCAGCTTTTTCAAAATGAATAATAAGTTGTTGGGTTTTTTTCACATTTTAAGTAAACACCTCTTTGGATGCAAACCAAGACCAACAAAAAAATGTTACAGCTCACCAAGCCAGGTCTCTCCGAGCGTAGCTAAGACGTTCTCAGAAAAGTAAGTTTGGATTAAATTTTATTTATACACCCATGTTTGACAAACATGGCTCATTGTTTTTAAAGTTATTTTTTATTTTTAATATTGTTTATGTAGTTGATAGGGATGTGTGCCCATGTGGGCCTCTAATGAGGGTGAGAGGAGTGAAGTTGTGAGGGAAGGCGGGTGGGGTCAATGTTTCCATTTTCTTCTCTTTATCCTGACCTGGAGGGGAAAGGCAGCGTTCCCTGCTGTCAAACCACATCAGCACCCATATGTCATTGACCTTAAGGAAAAGCTTAAAAATAGAAACTTCCCGAAAAGCTATTCATTCTAATAGAAGTTTGGGAACATTTTCCAAATATGCCTCAAGCTCCCCAAATACTAACAAAATATCCTAAAACCTAGATTTATCCACTCTCTAGCATAAGTACGTTCCAGTGAACTAGCTAACATGACCTGACTAAATCTGTAATTTTGGTAAATGCTGAATTAAATATCTTCCATTTCCAGAGGACATTACTATATAGTCTAAGATGTGAGTTTTCCTTGATTGTTGTTGTATTTCACTTGAAAGCTAATGAAAACAGGGCCCGGCATGATAGCATAGTGGTTAAAGTCCTTGCCTGCCACACACCAGGATCCCATATGGGCGCTGGTTCTAATCCTAGCAGCCCTGCTTCATCCAACTCCCTGCTTGTGGCCTGGGAAAGCAGTCGAGGACGGCCCAAAGCCTTGGGACCCTGCATCTGTGTGGGAGACCTGGAAGAGCTCCTGGCTGCTGGCTATGGATTGGCTCCAGCCATTGTGGCCACTTAGGGAGTGAATCAGCAGAAGAAAGATCTTCCTCTCTGTCTCTCCTCCTCTCTGTATATCCACCTTTCCAATAAAAATAAATAAATCTTTTAAAAAAAAAAGCTAATGAAAACAAATCCTTTACAGTAGACTATTTCGGTTTTTCCTATAAGTAGAGGCCTTATTGCCATAAATGGCATCTCTTTGTCAAATGGAAGCTAGGAGATTTAAGTTGAAGAGAAAGTCTAATTTGGAAACTCTGATTCCTTGGAACTTACGTATAAGAATAACTATACAAAGGAAACAAATTGAGATTTTTTTTTTCTTGTTAAAATCATGGTTTGGAAACCACCACTGAGGCATAATAGGTTAAGTCACAGCTTGCCAGTGCCGGCATCCCATATGTGCATTGGTTCAAGTACCAGCTACTCAGCTTTAGATCCAGCTTCCTACCCGTGTGCCAGGGAGGCAGTGAAGGATGACCCAGATGATTGGGTCCTGCCACCCCTGTGGTCAACCTGAATGATGCTCCTGGCTTTGGCCCTGTTCACCCCAGGCCGAAGCAGTCTTTATTCGGGGAGTGAACCAGTGGATGGAAGATTCTCTCTCTCTCTCTCTCTCTCTGTAACTGTCTTTCAAATGAATAAGTATTTAAAATAAATCCTGATTTGTCAAGTCTCATGTAGATTTTTTTTGCCCGCCTACTGCTCCCATGTAGTAGTATTTCGTTTATCTGCAGACCATTGAGTATGTATTGAGTATGTTGGCTAATCCCTCATGTGTGTCACTGAGGTTTTGAAAAGCTTTTCCAAATATGCACATGCCTGGCATTGTGCTAGCTAAATTCCCTGCTGTGAGGAGGCCGCACAATAAATACAGAAATATGTTAAGTGCTGTGTCTCACAGGCTCTGAAGCACACTTTTTCATACTTCCACATCTTACAATTGATGTCCTTTTGTATTTGACAGTTTTTTTCTTAGTGGTGCATAAAATAATGGTATGCATTATGGTGAACTGATGGCATCATAGATTCAATAAAATACTGTAATTCAGGGTTGACCAGCACCAAAGCCGCTTCACCTGGGTTCTGTATTAGAGCGTATACCTTCTACTCCTCACTTGTGTGATGACCTTCTGCATAACAGGAATCTGGCCCTGCAGGAAATTCAGTGCTTGGGAGATTTCTCAGTCGCTCATCTTGCTTCTTAGATGTGTTCCTTCAGAGCTGGCAAAGCAGAGGCACAAAGGCCTCTGGTGCATTTTGTATTTTGTATTTCCAGAGTTTTGCTTTAGTTGGTTCCATTTCCTCCTGTCATGTCAAGAATTGAGTAAGCTAACCACCTATGTGCTAAGTTGGGAGAATACCGCTAGCTTTACTTCTAATATTCCGATTCATAATCCTGTGGGGGGAGAGGAAGAGCCACTGTAGAACCACTGTAACTTCCGGGGTGTGGGGAGGGGAAATCCAGTACTTTATACCTTGTTACATGTTTTCTCTGCAAACTCGAGACTGAACTAAAAAAATTCCAAAGGAAGCATCCTGGAAGAGCATCAAGTCTTCCAAAGAGGAGGTGTGGCCCTGTTTTTGGCACAAGCATGGGTCCCTGTCTTTGGGAACGCAGTGTACCACACAGGAAGTCCGTGTCTCAGTGAATTGTGTATTGACATAGGCTGAAAACTAAAAGAGAAAGTCAACCCCGTTGAAGTTTAGCTCCTTAAGGCAGGTGGCTGTTCTAGGAGCTAGTGTGTAACAGTGTGTCAGCATCTGTATCGGGAGCGCTTGTTATAGTCCCAGCATTTCCACTTCCAATCCTGCTCCCTGCTAATGTGCCTGGGAAAATAGCAGAGGATGAGCCAAGTGCCTAGGCCTGTGTCACCCATATGGGAGGTATACATGGAATTCTCGGCTCCGTTTCTATCTGGCACGGTTGCAGCCGATTGAGGAGTAAACTAGCAGATGGAAGAGAGGGAGAGAGAGTGAGTGTGTGTGTGTGTGTGTGTGTGTGTGTGTGTGTGTGTGTGTATCCCTTTCTGTCACTCTACCTTTTAAAAAAATAGTTGAAAGGCTGGGACAGGTGCCATGGCAAAGCAAGCTAAATTGCCAGTTATGGTGCTGGCATCCCTTATGGGGCTGGTTCATGTCCCAGCTGCTCCACTTCCCATCCAGCTCCCGGCTAATGGCCTAGGAAAGCAGCAGAAGATGGCTCAAGTCCTTGGGCCCCTGCACCCACGTGGAAGCTCCAGGCTCCTGGCTTTGGATCAGCTCAGCTCCAGCCATTGCCGCTGTTTGAGTGAACCAGCAGATAGAAGACATTTCTCTCTTTCCTTCTCTCTGTAACTCTACCTTTCAAACAAACAAAAAAGTACATTTTCTTTAAAAAGGCTATTTTAAATTATGTCTAACGGTTAATATTAGTGTTGGAGCAATGGCATCAATCCACTCAGACTTTAAAAAAAGCTCTACTAATTTCCTTAGTTTTTCCATCATATCAGAGTGATGTGCTAAGGGCATTTATATAACTGATTGCTTAAATGCTGCATATTAAAGAACTGGAAAGACTTTAAGAGTGATGTACAACAAATATCAAGTAGAAATAGAATCTTAATCACAAGCTCTTTCTAATGTTGAGGTATTCAATTGTGTATTTATATGAAAAGTAGCATGTATGTTTATGAACCTACAGAAACCATTGGAAAGAATCTTAAGGAAATATTTTTTTTATTATACTATACTCATTCTTAGGAAAGAAGTTTCTTCCAAGAACACTGGTAATAAAGTCTCCTTAAAGCACACTGGAAATAGAGGAACTTCAAAGGGTGATGAAAATAAAGACGTCTTAACAAATCTTCGGTCTGACCTGTGGTCATCTTCCTTTTTAAAAACCAGCACAGGTAATAACACTTGTTTTGGGACCTGAGTGGTTGTGGCTTCTAGTTCAGCCTCCTTCTCTGGAGCCTTTGGGAGCTGTCAGCTCCAACTCTGGAGCAAGTAGGGAATCAGTAATTTTTAAAATCACACCCTGGATGGTTCTGATACACAGTTGAGTGCAGGATCATTCCATAAGATGGCAATGACAGGGTGTTCAATCCTAGAATGAATTGAAACACTCATGAAAGCATTAACCAATTCCAAAGCCAGGGTGCCAGGTGATGGTGTAGAAGCTATAAGTGAAATAGCAAATTAAAAATGCCTGCTGCTACAAATTCATATTCTAGTAAAAGAAATCAACTATTTGAAATAAACCTGGGCCAGATGTTTGGTGCAGTGGGTGAGTTGTCAGTTGGGATACCCATAACGATATCTGAGTGCCTGGGTTTGAGTCCTGGCTCTGCTTCCCATCTATAGTTTCCTTACAATCATGCACACAGCGTGAGAGGCAGTAAGCAATGGCTCAGTCCTTGAGTTGCTGCCACCCACATGGGAGGCCTGGATTGAGTTCCAGGTCCCTTGCTTTGGCTTCACCCATCCATGGCTGTTGTGATCATCTGAGAAATGAACCAGCAAATAGAATTTACCTCTGTCTCTCTCTCCCTCCCTCTATGCCTTTCAAACAAATGCATTTTAAAAATTTAAAAGCAAGCTAAAAAAATTAAAAGCAAATCAAGTTCAGACTGTGAATGGTAAATAAATAGCACCTTTAGGGAGGGCTATTTAGATCTAGGCTTTAGGACATTTTTCTCATGTGATTCATTATAAATTGAAATGAGGGAGTTCCAGTGACATCACAGGATGTCCTTGGTTCTTTATTATGACTTTCCTCTTGTGACATCAGTGTGGTGATTCGGTGCAGGGGCTGAGTGCAGACTGGAAGTTTAGGCTGAGCCATGGAGACGGTAAATGAAATAGATGCAGGTAGATGCATGGCCTGAATACCCCAGCCATCACTCCTTAGGGAGGACTTGTTCTATCCCTTTTCAGGATAGCATGTTGAGTAGAATCAATGATTTTCACTTTCTGTTTCTCCTCTCTTTCCTCACTTGACCTGTTTTCTTAGCTTTGTCTTCTCTCTCTCGGTTTGTGTTTTCTCTGGAACTCTCCTGGATTTCCTTGTTCTCTTTTTTCCAGCACAAGCCTGGGTACATTATTTAGAGGAGCTCACGGCCACCGTCTCACCAAGGAGGTCATCTCTCAGGACTCCTCGGGCACTCACAATGTTAGAGGAAAGTGGCAGGTGTAATTGGTTCAGTTCGAAACTGTGAAAGATTTTCCTGAGACCAGAGGAGCTAACAGGCTCACTCAAAGTGTTTTCCAAAGAGGATTTTAGAACTAGGAATTTTCAAACATTTAATGGTTTATATATTTAATGTGTGTTTATATGTATAAACTATATACATATTATTATATATATTTACAAGTATATTAGAAAAATAGTACAAAATGTAATAGGATGGGCATCTGGCACTGCAGTTAAGACACCCTTTGACATGCCTACATCCTGTTTTGGAGTATCTGTGTTCCAGTTCATGCTCCATTTCTGATTCTAGCTTCTTGGTAGTGTAGACCTTGCGAAGCAACAGGTGATTATGTCTTAAGTACTTCAGTCCCCACCATGTACATGGGAAAGCAGACTGAGTTCCAGGTTCCTGGCTTTTGCCTGTCCTTAGCTGTTGTTAGCTGTTGTTGAGGTGTGAGCCAGTGAATGGAAGATCTCTATCTGTGTATGGCTCGGTCATTCAAATAAATATGAAAAAGACATATTCTGGATTCAAACTGATTCCCAGATCTAGTACTTTGTGATTCACCAGCTTTGTGAAGTTGGGCAAATTATTTGACTTTTCTGTCCTTTCATTTCTTCTTCTGTAAATGGGAATAGAAGTAGTGCATGCATTAGTGGGATATAGAGAGAATGAAGTGAGCTAACACATTTAACGGAAGGATGATGACATAACTTTGTTATGTAGAATTTATCACTTGTAGACTATAATATAACGGGGTTAAACAAAATCTGATTTTTCAGCTTTTCAATATACATTGACTAAGTTATGCATGTTCTGTTTTAGGTGAAGGGGGCAAAGATTCAGTCGTTGCAAAGCAGGAGAAAAATGGTGAATTCTACCTGCAGGATGCTGATGACAAGCTGTCAGAATCAACAGATGATGATAGTGAAGATGGCAATGATGACGGCAGTAACCCTAAAAGGAATATCCGCGCCCCGTTAGAGTTAATGGCAGAAGTAAGTTTTTCTTGTAATATAAGAAACTTAATTCAAGTAACTAACATATTAGTGAGATCTTTGCCCGATTACAGATGCTTACCCGGATGCTAATCTCTCCTACTACTTTGAGCAGGTTGGAGGTTCAAGAAGATTCTGATGTGACAAGCTTTCTGTGAGGGGAGAGGCAATATGAAGAGATGTTTGGGTATACAGCTGACCAAAGACTGCGTCAAGAAATGGTTCTCACATATGTGGCAACATGCTGGTTGCTGGAGGTAGAAATGAGAAAGGCAGGTCCTTGCCTTTCAGAGCAGGAAAATGGATCAGCAACAAGTTGCAGTGCGTGCTAGTGAAAGCATTAAGTGATGTGGGAACACAGAGACCTAGGGGAAGGACTTGTAGAGGGAGAGATGCATGTGGAGTCTTAGGAACTTGCAGGAAGACAGGAGGTTAGGAATTCTAGTTAACAAGAGAAGGCTTTCCTGGGATAGGAGACAGCATGCATAAATCCACTGATGCTTGGAATCTCACACTGGGAAATTGTCGACATCTACTGATGTGTCTATGGAGAACAAAACAATTTTGCATCACTTATTATGTCACAGTCTACCTTTAAAGTCTTACACAACTTCAAGTACATCATAAGAACTTCAAAACCACTTCTCATTTCTCCTCACACCTTGTTTTGTTGTCATTCATTTCATTGCTACTTTATGCTGTAAGACCCATTGTGCAGTGCATTATTCTCATTTTAGAGGGTCAAATATCTATTCAAGAGATTTTTAATCTCTTAGAAAATCTTTTTATCAGTAAAAAGAAAATGACAGGTAGAAATTTGAATGTACAAAAAGTGATGAAAACACCAGAAACAGCATATGTCTTGGTAAGTTAAAAGGATTTCTTTTATTCATTGAGATTCTTGGACCTGTAGACATTTAGACTCTAGCAGGTTTGGAAAACATGTTCAATCCAAGACTTTTCCTGATTTCTCTCCTTCCCTTCATCTGAGCTGTAATTGTATATGTGCTAGACTATCCAGTAATGCCCCAAAGATCACAAAGGTGCCATTTTTTAAATTAGCAGTCTCTGTATATTTCATTTTAGATCGTTGCTGTTGCTTTGTCTTCCAGCACATGACCTTTGCAGGGTGAGTTGCTGTCAGTCTCATTCTGCATTGTGTGTTATTCCAGGTTGGCATCTCCACAAGTTCTGGTTCTTTTCATTCATTATTATGTTCATATTTACCTCTGGTTTTGATCATGAGATGAATTTTTGTAGTGGCTGTTTGAACACACTTGACTGGCAGTTCTAGGTTAGTTTCTGTTTAATAAAGCTGCTTATTAATCTTATTTTCCTGCTTCTGTGCTTGCTAGTAACTTTTTTTTAAACTTAATCCCAGGTACTGTACATTTTGCGTTCTGAGCACACAAACTTTTTTGCCAATCCTCCTGTTATGATGTTGGACTTTGTTTTGAGATGTAGCTGTTAGTCGGGTGCAGGTTTTTCTTTGTGGTCCTTTCTTTTTGACTGTTGGGACAGCCTTTGTAGAGCAGGGACGTGACCGTGTCCTTAGCATCTTGCCAGTTCTCTGTGTATTTCAGTCCTCCACTCTGGCTGGTAAGAACATGAACTCGTTTTCAGAGCTACCTACTCACGATGGTGATTCCTTTCCCATTCTCTGAGAATTTCTCCACACTCGCCTGCGGATTGGTACCAGCCCAGGCCCGGAGAACTGCCTGTGCAGATGGTCAGAGCTCGGTGTCTGGGAAGCCCCCTCTTTCCTTGAAAATTATAATCTCTCCGGCTCCTGTGAGGTCCAGACCCTGTTATTTGGACTCTGATCACCCATCTCTGGGTTCCCTTTTCTCATGCTGGTGCTTGGAAACAGCTTTCCTGAGTAAGCTAGAGCAACTGGAGGATCTCCTTGGTTTCTCTTCTTTCAGACACAGCACTGTCCTATGAAATTTGTTGTCAAGGTTCCTGAAAGCTGTTGCTTCATAGATTTTTGTTCAGTTTTGTGGTTGCTTAGGGGAGGAGAGCAAACCTGGTCCCTGTTACCTCATTTTTAGATACCTCAACTAGATTTTAGCACAAAGAATCCATTCATCTGAAATGCTGACCCTGAAATCATAAAAGGAAATGCATCAGATACTGAATATTCCTCCTGGAATAAGGCACGCACAGGAAACCTTGAACCTTCCATAATTTGTAAGGTGGTTCTGAGAAGTAAGAACACACAGTGGCACCGAGTGCTAGATGTCACTTGTCCTGCTCTTGGCCAGATCTGAATCGTTCGTGAGCTGCACGACATTCCAAGACTACCTCTACCAGGAAGCATTTATCTCAAGTTGTTGATTTGCTTTTATTTTCTTCTTCCTTTTAAATATTCAGTTACAACAGTGATCTATTAATTCATTTTTGTGTAAAATCCAAATGGTATGAGATTACTTCTTTTCATATACCTTGTGTTATGTCAAAGCATAAAATCTTTTTTTATTCAAAATACATTTCTTGGGCCCGGCGCGATAGCATAGTGGTTAAAGTCCTCAACTTGCACGTGCCAGGATCCCATATGGGCGCTGGTTCTAATCCCAGCGGCCCCACTTCCCATTCAGCTCCCTGCTTGTGGCCTGGGAAAGCAGTCGAGGACGGCCCAAAGCCTTGGTACCCTGCACCCGTGTGGGATACCTGGAAGGGCTCCTGGCTTTTGATTGGCGCAGCTCTGGCCATTGTGGCTGCTTGGGGAGTGAACCATCAGACAGAAGATCTTCCTCTCTATCTCTCCTCCTCTCTGTATATCTACCTTTCCAATAAAAATAAATAATTTTTTTTCTTTACTATGGAAGAATTTTATTTCATTTTCAAAGACAAAAGAAAGCTTTGCTGGATATCTTATTCTAGGCTGACAATTTTTTTTTTCTTTTAGAATCTGGAGTATGTTGCTAATTTCTTTTTTCTTCCTGATGTTGATTTTTTTTTTTATTGATTACATTGCATTATGTGACACAGTTTTATAGGCACTGGGATTCCCCCCTTCCCTCCCAAAATGCCCCCCCAAATAAATCTTTTTAAAATATATATATATATTCCTTTAAATTCTCCCAGCTTATCGTTGTAAAGTTTTTCAAACTGATAGATTTAAAATATTAAAACAACAAAAATCTATTTGGTTTTCACCTCGATAACACTCCTTATTAACATTGTGCTCCATTCTCTTCTCTCTCTCTGATACTTGATAGATGAGACATATATAGCCTATTTGTGGCTGAAACACTTTAAAGTAAATTTCAAATATCAAAGCTTTTTTCTTGAACCCTGAAGCAATGAGTTATGTAGGACTAAGCTGCTTCTTTAGTGTAATGCTGTTCCCGTATTATGTCTAAGAACAATAACAGTCTATAATATCGTATCATGGTCACCCAGACTCAGATTTCTCAACTCATCTTTTTTTTTTTTTAAGATTTATTTATTTGAAAGGCAGAGATACAGAAAAAGAGAGAGATTGGTTGACTCCATCTGCTAGTTCACTCTCCAAATGACTGCAGCTACTGAAACCAGGAGTCTGGAGTTTTCCCCAGTTCTGCCACATAGGTGCAGGGTCCCTAGTGCTTGAGCCACTCTTCACTCCTTTCCCAGGCGTACTAGGGGGAGCTGGATTGGAGGTAAAACTTCTGGGACTCCAACAGGTACCCATAAGGGATGCCAGCATTGCAGGCGGTGGCTTTAACTGTTACACCACAGTGTTGGTCCCTCAATTTATCTTTACAATGGTTTTATAGCTGGATTTTTTTCCTGGTCAAATTTCATCAGTGTTCATGCTTTGTGTTTAGTTGTTAAGCATGTTTTCAAAAGCAGGGAGCTTAACTAAACGCAGAACAAACAGGGCTCACACTGGCTCCCCTGTGGGATGCTGACATCACAACTGGTAGGTTAAGTTGCAGTTCCATGGTGTTGGTCCCACATACACCAGTTTTTGAAAACCTATCTTCAGGGATAGGCATTTGGTACAGCAGCTGAATTTTCTGCTTAAGATGCCTGCACCTTATATTGGAGTGCCTGGTGTAAGCCTAACTCCTCCTCCTCCATCATCCTGCACATGGAATCCTGGAGGGTGCAGGTGATGGCTCAGGAATCTAGGTCCCTGCCACCCTTATGGGAGATCCAGAAGGAGCTCAGGGCTTCTGGCTTCAGCCCAGCCCAGCCATGGCTGCCTCAGGCATTTCAGGAAGTTGTGGAATTCTCAAAAAGTACCAAGCATTCATTGCAAGAATTTCACAATTTCACTGCCTTTCAAATTGTGTAAAGGAGAAGTATATTTTATGTTAGCAACAACAAATAGGTCAGTACAAAGGAGCCATTGACACTGACTCTGTACTCCTTTGTCAGAGGATAATAATGATGCTTCATTAAATAGGCTAGATAGTAGATGAGAATAAGTAATTCCTAGCTTATTCGTAGGTGTGATAGTGATATTGTGATTGAGTTTTTTATGAGTGAAAAAGAGATGACGTTTGTGAACTGCTTTAAATTTGAACCCAGAGTTGAGAGTGTATGACCACATTGATAAAATCAGATTGGTAAAATGTTAATTTTGAAGTTCAGAACTGTGCACATGGCTTTCTTTTATTGTTCTCTCTACTTCTACTAAATTTTGGTAATAAAGAGATGTTTAAAATATAAACAGTAACTCCATGTTATACTAGTCAGATTCTCTTGTGATGATAACATGAATGAATTAAAAACTACTTCAAAACAAAAACATTCTTCCAAATGACACTTGAGTCAAAAATCAGCTAAGCTTAACAGGCTTTTAGGAATAGAGTGATAACCATAACAGCAAGCATTTGGTTTGGGGGGTCAAGCATTTGGAGCAGTAGTTAAGTCCCTGCCTGGGTCACTTGTTTCCCATAGTGGAGTGTCTGACTCAAGTCCCGCCTCTGCTGCTTTCTGTCCATGCCTGCAGCTTCATGCTACTTGCAAATCCTGGCAGGTGACAGGTGATGGTTTGAGCACCATCCACATAGGATACTTGGATTGAATTCCCAGCTGCTGGCTGTGCCCTGACCCACCCCTGGCTGCCACAGGTACTTGGGGAGAGAGCCTGCAGATGGAAGACCTCTCAGTGTCTGTCTGTGTCTCTCTGCCTTTCAAATAAAATGAAGCTAGATTGATTTAATTTAACAATTCTTTTAAAATCTTGATTTAACGATTCTTTAAAAATCCAAAGGGAGCTTAAAGTTTTAGGCCCTTCTATGACAATGAATTCAAGGTATAATGGCAGTAAATTAATTAAATATCAAAACTAGAAATTAGAAAAATATGAAAATAGGCAAAAAGGAAAACAAGGGCAGAATGTGTAGAACAAATGAATACTTCAAAGTTAAACCCAAATTAACATGTGTAAAGCTGAATGTTTTTAAAAGGAATGACATAACTAAGCCACTGAATGTAATTACAAAGAAAGAAAAACACAAACAGGAACGAAACTGTCCTAAACGTAGATAAGAATAGGTTTGGAAAATATAAGAATTCCGTTGTACAACTTGAACATAGCATGTATTAAAATGTAATGAATGAGAATTTTAGTGAAATAAATTATTTGTAGAAAAATCTGTTGAATTTTGTTTATCTTAGGAAATGAACTTTTTAAAACTCATGGGAAAACTAGCAGAGAATTTTTCTTTTTTTTTTGAGAATTTTTTTTTAAAATGTGCCTAGATATTAGGCAAATACCTGGAAATGTGTGACATTATTCATTATTATTCTAACTCTTGCAGAGTAAAACTTGCATACCTGCAAAAAATTAAAGTATGGAGTTTTTTTTTTAATGGAATGAGTCTGATAATCGAATGCCAGCTTAGTAAATTGTACCCCAGTTAAAGAAAAATACACAAATATTTAATGCCATGGAAAGAAAATGGTCAGGATATATGGCTTATTTTTAGGAAGTTACTGAGTAATCCTAGTTTTTTTTTTGCAAGTACATGTGTTCATTTGTTGGAAAAAAGATATATGGTAACAATCTTTAGGTAGAAAATTAAGGATTCTTTTTAGTTACAGACAGAATTGCTTATTTAGCTTTAATTTTTCCAAAATCTGTATGTATTACTTAGTGACAAAAATACAATCAAAATAGGGAGAACAGAGCTGGATGTTTGAGAGAAATGTCAGAAAAATATTGAACGCATGTCATTGTGAGTCTACAGATATTTCCAGAAAGCACTGTCCTGGGGCGATGGTCTAAGTTTCCTCGTGAACCCTGTGGAAAATAAAGTGCCTGATGTGTGCTTTATTTGTGCCAGTTAACTCGGTGCTGCTGCTCTCCGATTGTTGCACAGTACACGCACAGCACGACTGTGGGAAACACATGTGCACTGTGCCATGGTGTGTTGTCACCAGAAGTTCATAAATATCCATGATCCATTGCTTGATTATAGAGTCACTCCTGGAACAAAAATGTATGTAGCTATTAAAAGTAAAGCAACTAATCATTATTGGAATGTTTCCTGGGGCGTTTTAGAGCTGACACTTAAATTCTCTGTGAAGCCACTTATCTGAAGAATTTAATGTTTTCCAGTTCCTGAGAGCAGAAATGAGCCGAGACTACCATCTGGCGAAAAAGTTATGTCAGATGAGTAAGTATAAAATCCTTCCACATTTTTGATCTTTTCTTTTTGCTAAAAATAAATCCCATAATATGGAATAGTTTGATTTTTATAAGTCCAGTGAATTCCATGATTGTGTCTTAGTGATTTCTTGATGATAGGTTTGGTTTTGGTTTATTAGTATAAGGCCTAATTGGGATTTCCAGAATACCTTTCAGTGAAATAAATTAATATAGTCTAACATAGACTAGTTTACCACAACTGGAAAATAAGTCAGAATCCTTATCCATGTGTTAATGCATTAGTAACTTTATGTCTTTACTTCCAAAGAAGTGTCAGGTAGCACAACAGTCAAATGTTACCTAACAAACATTTATTTCACAAATATCTGATTGCCTGCTCATGCCAGGCAACGGAACTACATAGCCAACAAGACAGGTTTCTATGGCTTGTGTTAGACAGATGATAGTACATGTGTTCATTGTGTCATGTGTTCATTGCTCATGACAACACTGTGTCATGAGCAAGGGCGATATGGGGAACGTGTAGGGAGGGATACCTAGACAGTACTGGGAGGAAGTGGGGTAGCCCCACTGACGGGCTGGGGGGAGACTAGAAGGACCCGTGGGAACAGGCCACAGGGGCATCAGGAGGGAGAGTGTGCGATGTAAGGCAGGTCGCCCGAGCCGAGTGGGGATGTGCGCTGGAAGTGAGGCCCACAGCATGTGGACAAGGGGTGTGCAGAGAGCAGAGGCTCTTTTCTGGATGTAAGAACATTGGTGTTTTCCTTGAGTGAGAGGAGAAGCCCCTGGAGGCTTTTGAATAGAGGAAAGGTGTGAACTGCCTTATTTTTCTATCTTTGGATTTTAGTGATCTGACTTGATGTTCAAGATGGTCCAGGGTTTCTTTCCTGGTTGGTGGGGTGGGGGAGTGTAAAATTTCTTAAATCTGTAGGCTGATGTTTTTATCAACTGACAGCTTCTTGGCCATTACATTGTTAAATGCTGCTTTGCCCCTCCTTGTTGGCTTCTATTCCTGTGTCTCTAATTACACATAAATTAGACTTTTCTCCATGATGCACTAGCTGTATCTTACATTGCACTTCTGGGTTTTTGTTTTTCTTTGTCCATTTCTTTCTTTTATTGCATCAGTTTAGCTACTTTTTACTGACATGCTTTTAGTTTATTTATCCTGTTTCCTGTCTAATCTGCTGTTAAAACTGTTTAGTGCATTCTTAATTTCAGAGGCTAAATGTTCCAATTCTAGAAAGCCCACTTACTGATATGGAAATATCCCAGTTGAAATCCACCATCTCTTCAACTAGTTTGCCCATCATTTCCTCAAACATCTTAGTCATAGTTTTTTTTTTTTTTAAGGAGAAAATGACTACCTTACACAACTAAGCCTTCTCTATAATATGACTCAAAATAGTACCTGGTGTTGAATTTAAATTAGTCTTATGGCAAAGTAGCTGCAAGGGAAATGTAGCCCAAAGATTGTGAGGGTCTCCCCTCTCTTCCCTCACAGGGTCTCAGTTGTGGCAAAGTATTGCCTAAGTCACTGGCTCATCTTTGAAGTGCATGCAAATGCAAATGTTACAATTGAGCCTGTTCAATCTTTTCAACCACATTGAACCTTCAGAGCCATCAAATAAAAATCTTAAACCTATCTTTGGTGACCCACAAAATAAAGTTTCCAACCACTAAGAATCATATCTAGTCCTCTTTTTTTAGAAGATGCCTTTTAAAAAAGATTTATGTATTTGTTTGTTTAAAGGCAGAGTTACAGGGAAAGGGAGAAATAGATTTCCCATCTTCTATTTCTAACTGCTGATTTTAAAAAAGTGCATCGTTCTGTAGTGTTAGCTCCAAATTCTTTTAATTTATTTGAAGATGTTTTATTTCCATATCTGTCAATCGTTTTTAGAAAGCTTCTGGATGCAGCTTACAAAATGTATGCAGTGACGTCACCACATGTGTCAGTTTTGACTGTTAACCCTTTAGTATATTGCATAGAAAGCAGGTGCTCAACAAAATGCCTGTTTACCTGGACTAGAACTAGTGGACATACATTAAGCAACCAAGTCCATGGAGAGGAAAAGATTCAAACAAATCTGTCTTGATCAGTTACATCCCTACAAGGGTAGGGAGCCTTTATTCTGCCAAGGACCATTTAAATATTTATAACATCACATGCAGGCCATTTAAAGCTATCAACTTAAAAATTAGCCTGTTATTGATCTATTGAATTTTAATTCCCTCTAGCAGTTGCCTTGTCAGGGCCAGACCAAAAGATTTCTCAGGTCTGGCAGGTGTATGTTCCCCACCCCTGTGGAGCGTCTTCCTCCTGGTCTCTCTTCAGCTGCTGCACACTGAGCACCAACTGCATTCCAGGCATGATGATGGGAGCCAAGGAGAGAGCGGAAATCACAGCATGTGTGCCAGAAGCCTTCTTGCAGTGGACATTCAACAGCTTATTTTTCATTTCTTCTGGCTTACCCATTAACATAGTTGCCTCTTTAAAAGAGTGAGAGAGAAAAAAGAAGGAAGGAAGGAAGGTTTATTCTTATTTGAAATGCAGAGTTAGAGAGAGAAGGACAGAGAGAGAGAGAGAGAGAGAGAGATTGTGCATCCATTTATTCAGTCCCAGATGGCCACAACAGCCAGAGCTGAGCTGATCCGTAGCCAGAGTCAGCAGCTTCTTCCAGGTCTCCCATATGGGTACAGGGGCCCAAGGAACTGGACCATCCTCCACTGCTTTCCCAATCCATAAGCAGGAAGCTGGACCAGAAGTGGAACAAATGGGACACAAACCGATGCCCATATGTCAGCGCCACAGGTAGAGGCTTAACTTTATAAGCCATGGTACTGGCCCACACCGTTCCCTCTTTTTCATCAGTGTGCAAATAGTGATGCCTCCACAGCCAAGGATCAGACGACAGTAAAAGGAGCTAAGGGGGCCCCCAGATAGGTGGCATGATGCGAAGAGTCAGTCTTGAAAGAATGTGGCTCTCAACGAGCTGAGTGGAAGTGTGGGCCAGGAGGCTGAGGAAGGGCTCACAGTGCTCGGGCAAGATAAGATTGACTGTGTTGCCATGATAAGGGTCCCTGGCCGGGAGGTGAGGTTAGGGAGGCCCAGGATTGGCATTGCCAAGCCCGGTCAGGGAAGGGTAGCGTGTTAGAGAAGGAACTTCTTAAGGCTGATAAGAACATTTGGTTGAGAGCTACCCTGAAGCCCTCTTGCCACATAGAGCACCAGAGAAGAGGAATTCCCATGGAGCACGGACACAGATGTTTTATATGTAGGTGCTGATTCTAATAGTCCTTTGTTTTTTTTCCATCTTTCATTCGGTGCTCTTCCTTTCTGTTGGTAAATGTGCAACTTCATGCTATACATATAGATTACACACAAGGATATTTTGACAAGTATGGGAAATAGGATCAAAAGGTAAGATTATTTTGATGCGAAACATTTTGAAATCATGTGTATGAAGGTCTTCAGCAAGACCTTCACATATTGTGAAAAAAACTGCATGGCTTTTAAATATTTTGTACGAAAATTAAGTTGTTGTTGTTGTTGTTCTTTGAGAGAAATAAAACCAGACAGACAGACTGGTGCATTCCATAAATGCTTACAATGGCTGTGATTGGGCTGGACTCAAACCAGGAGCTGGGAGCTCAGTTCAGGTCTCCCTCGTGGGTGAAGGGACCCACTGCTGGAGCTGTTACCCTCTCCCAGGATGTGCCTTGGCAGAAGCTAGAATCAGTATTCCAACCAGGAATGGCACGCAGGCATCCCAACATGGCTTACAGGTATCCTAATGGTATCTTAACCCCTAAGCTAAAAGCTTATCCCAAAAATTATCTTTTAACTCCATTTCCCATGAACTTTTAAAGGTACTGTCATGTTTACATGTTTGTCTACATCTGTCTCTTGAGTTCTTACTACTAGTAGTACTAAATGCATTGTGTAGTTTGTTTTGCTTTTATTTCGTTTTACTTATTTGCACAGCAAACATACACAGGAACATAGAGTCATGGTCTTCCGGCTGATGTTTCACTCTCCAGCTGCCCATGACAGCCAGGGCTGTGCCAGGTCACCTCCAAGCTCTGAGAACTCAGTCTAGGCCTCCCATGTGGGTACTGCTTCTGCAACTCCTTGAGCCCTCGCCGACGCCTCTGCAGGTGTACTTAGCAGGCAGCTGGCATTCAGAGCTGAGTCTTGAGCTCAGGCCCTCTGGCGGCTGTGGGCATTCCAAGCAGCCTCTCATCACTGCACCAAATGCCCACCTCCATTGTCGTATCCCTAAAACACTTGGGTGTGGCGGCTGTCATTCATCCCACTTCAAGGATCAGAAAACTAAGGCTAAGCAAGTCACACGAGTGTTAGAAGGGCAGAGGCAGGATTACACTCCAAGTCTAACTCAAAACCAAAGCCTGGGAAACCCTTAATATACTTCTATTTCCTCATTTGGTCAATACTTTTGTTTTTCTGATAAGGGAAACAGAAACTTGGAAAATAAAAACTTTTGTGGATCAGTCAGGCCAGGAATATCTGCTGTAGTCAGGTAATACATTATAATATATAAGATAAGTATCTTATTAGTACCTGTAGCAGTTATAGAAAACAGTACGTTGTTGCCCCTTCAGAAATGTGTTCATTCATTTTCCTGAATGAAGTCACCAATTCCTGATATTTGTTTGATGTCCAATCATGTTAGAGATATTTGCACTTGGCTGTAGAATCTCCTCCCTGGCACCTAGATACACATGGGTCCTTTTTTCTTGCCTGCCTTTAAAAAAACAACAGACAGACAGACATTGTACCTGTTAGCTAAGACTTGGCATTTGTCAGTCCTTACATGGTCCTGGTATTTTCTCAGTCATTTTCTTATTGTTTCATGCAGAACTGCTGCCTCAGCTCCATGCCATTTCCTGCCAGGCAGTATGGGCAGCCTGGAGACATGGCTTCTCAATGGGACCAAGAGTACTTTAACCATCCATGTAGTGAAAGACTGAATCTTTCTATCAATCTTAGTTCTTGGTCATGTCACCTTATCAGTTGACTCCTCTAGTTGTCTTCCCAGGGAGCCAGACCTAATCACAGGAAGCCTGAGATGCTACACAGAAAGCCCTGGAAGACCAATGTCACTGATTATAACTGTCATTGCAAATGCTGAAGAGTAACGGCTGGGTCGGATGTGTGGCAGGGAGGTTAGGACAGCAATTGGGATTTTCGCATCCCTTATCAGAGTACCTGGGTTTGAGTTCCTAATTCCAGCATCCTTCCATCATGACCCTAGGAGACAGCAGGTGCTGGCTAAGGTAGTTCGGTGTCTGCCCCCACATGAGACATCTGGGTTGGTTCCTGCCTTCTGACTTGGCCTGACTCAGGCATTGCTGTTGTTACCATTTGCAGAGTGAACAAGAGGATCAAAGATCTGTCTTCTCTCTCTCTCCACCTCCCCCTCTCTTTCCCTGCCTTTGAAATAAAGAATATATTTTTCTTTTTTTAAGATTTATTTTTGGCCCGTTGCGCTCACTTGGGGAGTGAATCATCGGATGGAGGATCTTCCTCTCTGTCTCTCCTCTCTGTATATCCGCCTTTCCAATAAAAAAATAATAAAAAAATAAATTTAAAAAAATAAGATTTATTTATTTATTAGAAAATCAGATATACAGAGAGGAGGAGAGACAGAGAGGAAGATTTTCCGTCCAATGATTCACTCCCCAAGTGAGCGCAACGGTCGATGCTTTGTTGATCTGAAGCCAGGATCCAAGAACTTCTTCCAGGTCTCCCACACAGGTGCAGGGTCCCAAAGCTTTGGGCCGTCCTCAACTGCTTTCCCAGGCCACAAGCAGGGAGCTGGATGGGAAGTGGAGCTGCTGGGATTAGAACCGGCGCCCATATGGGATTCCGGCACATTCAAGGCAAGGACTTTAGCTGCTAGGCCATGCTGCCAGGCCCAAGAATATATTTTTCTGAATTAAGAAGTCCACAGGAAATGCATATTATTAAAAAAAACTATGTTTCAGTATTTGACTCCTAATAATTATCTTAATTCCTATTTTCTCAAACTTCTAAAACTACTCTCATAGTAAGAAACTAGTATCTTAATGTCTAAATGAGCAACTTGGAGAAACTTTGTTCTAGAAAGAGGCTTAGCTTCAAAGATTTAAACTACTACTAATAAGCATTATCTGAGTATAAGAGGAAATGTGCAAGAAAGTGCTTGAAAGGTTGTATGTGTGTGTAGTGACACATAAAATACCCGTGGATCATTAAACATGGCTTCTGAACAGGCGCAGAGTCGCGCTGACAGATAACTTGTTAGTGGATTGAGAAGTCAAGTCACGTCACAGGGTTAGGCCTGTCAGGATGAAAGCTGTGGGTAGATTCCTATGAGCCAATAGGCCCTTATTGAACCGACCGGATCCTTTCTCACACTGAACAGTGGCACACTTGATGTTTCAGCGCCCCCTGGGGGCCAAAAAGATATTGTGCAGAACCACACCATTAAATGAATGATGTAGAATTATGAATATTCCTCAAGGCAGGTGTGGAAAGAGTGGAGAGCAGTAGAGTAATGTCTGGGGGGAAAAAAAGGTGTAAATCTTCTGGCCTCTAGCACTCTGGTAATGTACCATCAAGCCTTGAAAAGACTGTTGATGGGTCCAGCGTGGTAGCCTAGCGGCTCAAGTCCTTGCCTTGTTCCACATGCCAGGATCCCATATGGGCACTGGTTCTAATTGTGGTGGCCCTGCTTCCCATCCAGCTCCCTGCTTGTGGGCTGAGAAAGCAGTCAAGGACGTCCCAAAGTTTTGGGACCCTGCACCCCCATGAGAGACCTGGAAGAGGCACTGGGGCTGCTGGCTTCGGATAAGCGCAGCTCTGGCTATTACAGTCACTTGGGGGATGAATCATCAGACGGAAGATCTTCCTCTCTGTCTCTCCTCCTCTTCTCTGTATATCTGACTTTCTAAAAAAAAAAAAAAAAACAAAAACAAAAAAAACAGGTCTATTGGTGTGTTCAAAAAGAAAGATAGCAGTCTCATAAAAGACACATAGAACAGGGCCCAGTGCCATAGCATAGCAGCTAAAGTCCTCCCTTTGAGGGCACCAGGATCCCATATGGGCACCTGTTCTAATCCCGGCCGCTCTACTTCCCATCCAGCTCCTTGCCTGTGGCCTGGGAAAGCGGTTTAGGATGGCCCAACGCCTTGGGACCCTGCATCTGTGTGTGGGAGACCCGGAAGAAGCTCCTGGCTTCAGATTGGCTCAGTTCCAGCCATTGTGGCCACTTGGGGAGTGAACCATCGGGTGGATGATCCTCCTCTCTGTGTATCTACCTTTCCAATAAAAATAAATAAATCTTTAAAAAAAGACACATAGAACGGAGAAATGCTGGAAGCAGCGCTGGTGGGGAGGGGAGCCTGCTGTCATGCAGCGTGGAACAGCATGGCTAGGGTAAAGGCTGTCGGGTGGAGGGAGCGGTAATGCTTGTTTTCTCTTTTGGAAAGAATCTGCATTGGGTAGAGGAACTGACACGGGGACACCCCATCTTCTCACCAGCAGAATGTCCAGACTGTGCCGGATCTGTACCTGCTTTTGGGAATGCTGATGTTCACTTTGGTCCCTGAGTCCTAGGAAGGCATGTGGAGGTGACGGAGGTTGCATCTCTACTAGGATATGGGGCGGGGGCTGTGAGGAAAGGCGCTTTCTCCGTTTGCAGTTAGAGATGCCCGTGGTGTCACCGCTCCCTAAGCTTTGTGCATTTCCACCCGCTCTGATCAAGAGTCTCCGTTTCATTCCAAGGCCCCGCTTGCCAAAACGCCTTGCATATTAACACCCTGCATTCTGTTGTCCCTTTCTAGTCCTCATCTACGAGCCAGAAAATCCAGAGGCCAAGGAGTTTCTCTCACTGATCGAGGAGATGCTGCTGAAGGGTACGTAGGAACATGGAAACTGCATCCTTGCTGTGGAACTAGGAGTAGTCACTCTTCAAAATGCATCACCCCGGGTGATGGTTGAAAGGCACCTGCAGCAGGTGGCCGAGAGGTGAAGGGCTGTCTCAAATGGGGAGACCAGCTTGTGCCCTGTCGGTAGTCAGCAGAGCCACTTGTCTCTGGGCAGGGCGACACTGCCCAGACACAGTAGGCTCTCCGGATCCCAGGCAGGTGGAACACACCCATCATCCCCATGTTTAAGTTCTCTCTCAATTAAGGAGAGTCCCCAGATCTCATGGCCTCTTACTCCATTTAAAAAAAAACTGATAGTGGTGAGCAGTGTTGTTAGAAACCTAGGTTTTAGATGAGTTTTAGGCCTGGAAACTTCATGCCCATGAGAACACATCCCTCCCTTGTGATATGGTGGCTGTCACCGTACACCCAGGCTTGGCACATTTCCAGGTAGAGAAAGCTGTGACTGTTTTGATGAGTGTAGAAATGTCGTGAAATATTTCAAGCCGCTCTCTTCCTCTCCGTGGCAGAGAAAGCGCAGCATCTGGAGGAGGAGGAAGTTAGTGAAGAAGACAGCAGTGAGGAGAGCCAAGAGGACAGCAGTGAGGCCGGGAGCAGCGAGAGCTCTGGCGAAGACGAGCCTCAGGAGTCGCCGTGACAGTCCCAGCTCCTTACTACGGCGTGCCGTGCAAATACACAGCTGCCTTTAGTCCGGTCTTCCTCTGTGTGCTTCCTTGTGACGCCATCGTAGTCGTCCCTCCTAATGTCTAGGCTCGGGGTTGATGTGGGGAACTCGGGGAAGCCGCTTGTTTTCTCATTTGAAGGCACTCGATGGCAGGCACTGTGGGTGAGGAGCTGCTCAAGCTGCTCGAGGCACGTGATTAAAGCCAGGGACTCCGTGTGGTAAGTAAATATTTATTCCCATTCAGCAGGTGAGAAGGTGGGAGCACGGAGATGGTGAATCGTCTTCCTGGCACCATGCACCCGGGGACTCCGAGGACCGAGACGTGTACAGGGATAGCATGGCCCCAGGATCAATGCTTTCAGTTGCCCACGAAGGATCACTACTTCAGGCATGTTTTTCTTTGAAAGGTTATTTCTTTTTATTTGAAGAAAGGCAGAGGTCTGTCATCTGCTGGCTCACTCCTCAGATGCCCGCCACAGCCATGGTTGGGCCAGGCCCAAGCCAGATGCCAGAATTCAAACAGGGCCGGGACTTGAAGCCAGGCCAACAGGCATTTAACTGCTGTGCCAAGCACCTGCCCTGTTTTTCAGGTACTTCTAGATCATTTGTTTTCTGTTCTTGATAGCACAGCTCAGGATGTGGAGTGCTCATTTAGTTATTTGTCATTTTCTTTCTTATCTGCTGCAGAGTATAAACTCCATATGCGTAATCCTGTATACGTATACATTTGAATATACACCAAGAGAATGGTGAACTGAACGTTAATGAAAATGTTTGTATTCTTTCATGAAACGTAAGATTTTGTATTTCTTACATACCAGTCTTCCTTAAATGTTCACCTCCTTCAAATTAGGCTGTGAAGTAACTAAGACAGAAAATGAGAAAATATTCCCAAGTAATTTGTGAATCTGTCCATCGGACCTGAGGGGAAGCATTTTGAATTTTCCTTCACAATGTCTTGGCATCTCTAGACTGCTTCCAGCATAGTTTATTGTTTAGGCATTTAGTGGCCTGTTAGCATGTAGAGAAAGCAATTCTGCTGCGTAGGTTCATACGGAGGCTGAGCGAAAGGAAGACGGGCGTGCAGTGCTCGAGTCGCACTGCTTTGGTTGGTAGTAAATTATCAGGACCTTGTGCATCAGTAACCAGAGAGCATCAGAGGTGTGGCTAATGTGGACCTCAGGAATGACCTGTGCTCTTTTCCTGTGGGTTTAATGTTCCTTCCCAACCTGGGAAGCCACGATATATAGACTGGCGACGCTTATCTGGCTGAGGAACGCACGCCCCTAAGAGATTCATAGAATACCACAGACTGGTGTGGCAGGCTACCTCAGTGCCAACAAGTTGTTAGCTTCTTTTAAGGAATAGGGAAGTTCTAAGAAAGCAATTTCTATGAGTTAAAAACCATACCATCACAGGCCATGTTACAGATAAATCTAAGAACTGATGAGGTTTGCCCATTCCAGATAATTAATATTCCCAATCCATAGTTTTCATCCGATGTCCGATCTTCATGAGACATCAAATGACAGCGTCACCTGAAAAATGGCAGGTGTGTCTGTGACTAAAAACCGTTTTCATGTTATGTAACGTAGCAGCTTTTCCCTGTAGCCCTCAGAGCGTGCTGTGGTCCCGGATAATTGCAGACACTGGATTTGGGATGACGAAGGGTATCTAGAATGAGGTGTTAGCTGGAATGGGGGAATTCACATGAGGTCATTCAACCAGAAAGATGCTGGGCTACATCCCAGTAGGAAGCACCGAGTGGCTCGGAAGCCCAGCATTCCATGCTACCTCCTGCATAGTTAAACTCTGGGAACAAATGAGTCAGCCGAGTCGTGTCTGTAGACACTGGAGTTCTAGACCTCCACCTTCTTCCCTAACTCCATAACACGTGACAAAGATGTTAAAGAACTCAAATATCCAACCGTGTGAGAAGATTTGAGAATGCCCAATCGTAGACTTGAGAGAAGAACCCACCAAAAATGTCCCACTTGCTGATGAGGAGATCTAGTTGCTAAGGCAGCACACAGGGAGGGCCGCTGAGCCAGCCCAGGCACCCCGGGAAAACATTGAGAGGGCAGTGAGGACTGTGCAAAGGAGGGAGGTGCGGTGGGTGTCGGCTGCGGAAGAAGGTGTGGAGAAGACCACAACTTGGAAAGACAGACACGCCAAGCAGATGAGTCTGATTATAAGATGAATATGAAGCAGCGAGGAATAAAGAAGCCGTTAAAAGGGCTGGATCATAGAAGATCTAGAAGTCATATGAGAGTTGGAGTTTTATCCTTAGAAAGCAGAAGGCATATTAAGGAAAAAATAATTGTGTTTTAGGAAGAGCATTTTGGTACTCAGGTTAAAAAGAAAATGCACGCTTCCTCAAACTCCAGGTCCTGATCCATTTTGGAAATACAAATTCAAGATATAGTAAATCACAAATACCTGAGTTTTTAAAAATTAAATACACAGAATAGAAAATAGCAGACACTACAGAAAAATGTAGAAAGTACTAGTTGATGAAACTGGTTTCAGGAGGATGTGTATTTTAGAGCTTGCTGTGCTCATCTGAAAGGCAGAACTGAAGGGAGGGAGAGCTTTCTTCTCCCCACTGGTTCACTCTGCAAATGACCTCAACAACCAAAGGCGGGCCAAGCCAGAGCCAGGAGCCAGCGACTCCATCCGGGTCTCCCACGTGAGTGGCTGGGGCTTAAGCACCTGAGCCAGCTGCAGCCTTCCCAGGTATGTTAGCAGGAGGCTGGATCAGAAGTCCAGTAGCTGGGAATGGAACTAGCACTCCAATATGGGATACTGGTGTTGTAAGCAGCACCTTAACTCATTGTGCCACTGTAGTACTTCTCAGTAAGAGAGTCCAGCTGTCACAGGCCTATCAATGGTGACTTGCCTGTGACACCAGCATCACTTATTGGATACCAGTTATAGTCCTGGCTATTCCATTTCCAGTCTGATAAGCTTGAGAAATCAACAGAAAATGGCCCAGGTGCTTGGTGTGGCCAGCCACATGGGAGACCTGGATGGAGTTCCAGGATTCTGGCTTCAGTTTGGCCCAGTCCTGGCCGTTGTGGCCATTTGGACAGTGAAGCAGCAGGTGCACAGCCCTTTATGTCTGTCTATTTCTCCACACCCCCTCCCCGCCCTGGCACTCTGCCTTTCAAATAAATAAATTTTTAAAAACAAAGTCAAATCTGAAAGCAGAGAAAACAGACTAGAGTGGAACACAGAAGTCCACTCACACAGCAGTTCATGCAGTTTTAAATTGTAGCCTGAGAAGACATAGTGGCAGGAAGATGGAGCGGAATGTAGGAGTCACTCTAACGACTCAACAGGGCCTGATGTGGTAGCCTAGTGGCTAAAGTCGTCACCAAGATCCCACGGCCCTGTTTCCTATCCAGCTCCCTGCTTGTGGCCTGGGAGAGCAGTCGAGGACGGCCCAAAGCCTTGGGACCCTGCACCCATGTGGGAGACCTGGGAGAGGCTCTGGGGTCCTGGCTTCAGATTGGCTCAGCTCTGGCCATTGTGGCCACTTAGGGAGTGAATCAATGGACAGAAGATCTTCCTCTCTTCTCTCTTCCTCTCTGTATATCTGACTTTCCAATAAAAATAAATAAATCATATATATATATGATTTAATATATGTTTGGTCTTTAAGATATATATATAGAGAGAGCTGCTCAGGTAGGCAGATATATATATATATATCTTAAAGACCAAGAAATCCATGCACACTTAAAAAAAATTAGACTCGACAGGAACAGGTGAATTAAAGTGAGGAAGGGGCAGCGATCAGGGACAACTCCCAGTGGATGAGCAGGCTGTCTTCCCTAAAAGAGGAAGGTGGAAGGACAGGCAGCTTTGTGGGAGGACAGAGCTTACACCGCGCGGGTTGGGAAGCGGGGAGGTGTTGGCATCCTGCCCAGCAGTCTTAAGTTAGCACAGTTATTATCTTAGATAATTAGGTCCAAAATGGGTCCCACTGGGTCAAAATTATGCTTTTGGCAAGGCTGTGTTCCTTCTCAAAATTCTAGAAGAGAACTCTTTCCTGGCTTTTCCACCTTCTAGAACCTTCTAGAACCTGCTCGGATTTCTTAACTCATGGCTCCATTTATCCATCTTCAAAACCAGTAATGTCTTGCCATGTTCTTACACTGCCGTTTCTGTTCTCTCTGTTCCTTCTCTCCCCCTCTCCGCTCCTTCCCTGCCTCTCTTCCCTCCCTTCCCTCCCTTCCCTCCCTTCCCTCCTTTCCCTCCCTCTACTTTAAGGACTTTTGTGATTCCCTTTTGCCATCCGTATAACCTAAGATGATCTCCCCATCTTAGGGTCACCTGATCAGCAGCTCCAGTTCCTTTATGTTCACAGGTTGTAGGGATGAAGCCTAGACATCCTGAAGGGAGAGAAGTACATTCTTCTACTACAACAGGAAGTATTGGGTGTTAGGTTTTTGGTTTTTTTTTTGGATTAGTGGCATGAAGCTTGTCAGGTACACCATTAGACTAGAAATGGTGATCAGCTAAATGGAAGGAATGCCTGCTGGGTGAGGGCAGTCTGGACAGAAGAGGGCCAGGGGAAGGACAGTAATGATGGCCGTGTTTACAGTAGACTGATGTTGGCGCAGGAGGAGACTTGAAGAGGGTGCATGGTGCCAGACGTGAAGCTTGGATCTGCTGGAAATGTGAAAGGCCCAGGTGAGGTGCCACACCATGAGGTATTGTTTGTACAGCAGCAGACCAGATAAGGCCCCCAATGCCAGTCTCGGCAGGCTGGTGGTCTTCAGGTGGGGCCTTGCAGTAAGCTCCATGGAGCAGGGAGAGTGGGCAGAACTTGGGAGAGGTTTAGGACGACGTTAAGTGCTGGGAGCTAGGATTGACTCTCACAGCCTTGTTCAACATGGATCTTTTCGGACCAGGAGTCAGTCTGTAGCACCTAAGGTGGTTGATTCCTCCCTAGGTTAATTACAGCCTGGATCACAAAGCCAAACTAATCCTCGTGATCCCAGCTCTTTCCTGCTAGTTC